GTCATGCTCTTTAGGCCTTGAAGCTGATTTCTGCGTTAGCACTTGCATAGCAATTGACATACAATCCTTAAAGGCACGTCAATGAGAATTAAATTGTATTATATTGGAGCTAACAATAGCACTGTCACTTTTGAATACGCATCCATTAAAATTTTACGTTATGAAAATATCAAAGAGGAATTAATAGCCTTGGGGGATTTGTGTTGCCGGATGAATCGATTGAGTTGTTAATATAATTTGTAATATAACGACTTATTATCAAAATGTATCAGCGAAATATGTAGCCAAGTGGGATTATGGTGAACGGATTAATCGATTGAAATAATACAAGAAATTGAATGGTTATGAATTCAGCCGATTTAATCTTTGGAGCAAATGCCTTCAGATTTTTGCTATTTTCATGACAATTTTGAAAATCCGTTTAAAAGTGAAATGGACTCAAGGTTTTTAAGTGAAGGGACCGAAAAAAGTTCAAGATTTTGTATAAATAGAAGTATGTCTGGACCAATAATTCGTGTACAAAATTTCAGATCATTCGCTGACTCCTATAAATAATCAATTTTATTTTTCAAACTGGCCAAAAACTGAAAACTGTTGTAACGCTTTTCCCTCAAATTGGCCAAAAATCGCATAAAGATCGATTATCATTTAATACCGTGTATATTCATATAAAATCTATTGTTTTGATTTCAAATATAAGTGCACCTGTTAATTTCAAAAACAAGATATTTCAAATTCTATTGTTTTAGGCTGTTGAACCTCAGTTGAGTTCCTTTAAATATATCTATGTGAACATGTGTTAATTAGTAAGTCATTAATCGTACAGAGTATGCAAATTATTACTTGAATCTCGAATCGTTTTCACAAATTCTAAAAATCTTAGTACAAGTTTTGTACATTTTTTTGAAAAATGATTTTCTTGAAATATGTAGGCACCTCATCTGGCTGCATGTAGCTTATGCAAAACGTTTTCAGTGATCTTTTATATTTCTGTGTTTGAGGTGACCTACTTTTAAGATATATTTAAAACTGTATGACGCTTGTGCTTTTGGATTGAATAAAGAATACAATTGAAAATAATAAAAGAAAACAATCTTCATCAATGATATTGGACGATATCAGCAAAAATGTAACCAATCTCAATGTACGACTCGAAGAACATTTCAATCAGTTAAGTCAATGCTATTTTCGACATTCTGCTCATTCTAACCATGTTAAGTACTCATACTCGTATACAATAATTTGAAAGTAACAATAAAAAGCTATATGCAAAATGGAAAAAAATGAAAGGTATATTCCAGTCTTGATGGAGTACCGGATATGTTTGCAGAATGGTCAGATTAATATTTTTGGACAATATACCAGTCCTGACAATGAAATAGTAGTGCTTAACATCGGCATATGCTATGCAAAACACTCGTATTATAATCTATACCCAATTATGGCTGTTCCAGTTTGTTGCGAAAATCTGCTTCTTTAAGAGATAGCTTTGTTACTTTCGAAATTCCCATTAAAACACCTCATAAATTAAACCTGTTTTAAAGTAGACAATGAGACATGCTAACTTGTTTAGGTAATCAAATCATGCGAGATAAATTACTTTTTTATCAAAAGGAAGACCATAACTATCTGTATACTGCATATGTGACACTTATTCAGATTATTACAGATAAGTGTTAAGCCAATAACATCCCCTAGGGATCACTTGTTCTGTCACACTGTAATGTTTTCAGAGAAAGAAACGTAAATAATACTTGTAATTTAAAAAGAAACTGTTTAAAGAGAAGGAAAGTAGTCACAAATTTACCAACAATGATACTTTTCATAACGCATTTTAAACTGAAACAGATTCAGGATAACTGAGTTTTTTAAGACATTGAAGCGATATCGCTAACGTTTTTTTTTGTCAGTCAATAATTTCTCTGGAGTTGGCGAGAACCCAATACGCAGATGAGGCATTATTTGCATTTTCAAAGTTTTTTACTATTTAACCGGAATATCTTTGAATATTTTTCATACAACAAGCAGTTATGAATGATATTGCTCAGGTTCTGCACTATTCATATTTTCTAAATATTCATTGAATAAAAGCATAGTAATTTGTACCGCTGGTTTTTCAGTGAATGTATCTGCTTTATTAAAAAAGTTTGAAAAAAGGTAAAAAAATAATACTGTGCATTTGAGGCGGAATTGTAAATACATTACGCACTAAAATGGAGAGATATTTTAAAACAACAAACAACATAAAACTATAAGGAATAGTATAATAAGATCCATATACATGTACTAGTTTATTTTTTATTTCCTTATCTAAGTCATTCCTATCCATGAAAAGATATGGTTATGATAGTTCGTCCACTTGATGAACCGGCCTTTAGTCATCTCTTGTGTTATGTTAGGCTCCCACTTTGTGCCTTTACGTCGCCATATAGGGATAGATTTCGTCGGAGTTCCATTTCGTGGACGTCGATATTTTCTGCTTCCAAACAGTATTAACTATTTGCGTTGTTGGTATAAATGGTTTCTAGCAAAAAGTGCAGATTTTTTTGTGAGACATCGTACAATTTGGAAGAAATACGTTTTAAATAAAAGAATCAAGAATGCATAGCAAAGCAGTTTGTAAGGTCTTAAAAGGTTTTCCCCGTATATACAGTGGTCAACGTTTAGCACTAATAGGGGTATTAAAATTCTTTGTGCCAGTTATTAGCTTGGATGCAGAAACGTTTTAGGCAAAGATTGTTGATTACTTTAATCAATATTGAGTCATTAATTTTAATCATTTGTTAATCATTGAAATAACTGATTTCATAAATAAGGGTTAACTTTCTATTTATATATTTAATTATCTTGTTTTATTTATTTGTTATTTATTAATGTATTCATTTATTTTGTTTTTGTTTTGGTACACTTGCAATTTAATTAGTAAAGAAACTACGCCCAAGTGTTTTAACACATATTTTAGAATGTTCCTTTCATAAAAACTCTTTTCAATTGCTGTCATCTCTTGCTGCGAAATTATCATATTATGTTTCTTATGCTGTTTTACATTAACAACAAATAGATATTACGCAAGAGAATTTTAGATCTATCACTATCAATTCAAGGTTTTTAAGTATCATCTAAGGTAGTTTAAACACTAATGTTAGGCGATGTGGTTAATGTCGTTAACGTCTTGCTCATCTTCGCTGTCGGTTTGAATCCCCCAGGGACATTGAATTCCTTCATGTAAGGTTATTAACGAGCTTATGGAACGTCCATGGTTCTTATCAGGTGCCATTGTCGGCATTTGAAACCTTCCGCCGCCAGTAAAGCTGAAACGTACAACATACAAGTCTTTTTTTTCGGTCATTTTGGATCATTGATTCCAGCACGTGTTAAAGATTGAATACCGCTTCCGAGGGATCACTCCCTTACCAGATGTTTGATTGTTGTCAGGTCGTTTTGATGAGCGTACTTTTATTTTCCTTCATTTCGTTTGTTGAAATTTGTTCAAAGATATTCATTAACTAGCACTACAATCAGATAAAGAAAACAAATCGATGATAAATGTCGTATATATTCCTTTGATTTCCGGAGAAGAAAGTAATAACGGATCTTATACATGATTCTTCCATCTGTAGCCAATAAGGGGATAAAGTTAAGCTCTATTTAGGAAGTGCTCATTAGTACACGGTTTCCACAAACACAAATAAAAATAATGTTTAGATGTATTTTTGATGAAAAGTACTTTTTTCAATCTATTGATGTACAGATTATTGAAATTGATAAAAAGGCACACAACGCAGAGTCAGTAGACCAAATGTTTAACAGCTTTAATACTAGTAATACATTTTAAATATCAAACCTCATTGTTTAGTAAGTTTTGTACAGAATAATGATTGTCACCTTTATAATGAAAAGAAACATTTGCCAAAACCAAAGTATAAAATCAATTTTTTTGACTAATTTTTAATTGGTACTTCTTAATACTTTATCACCGATTTTTAAACATATTTAAATTAAACATATCGTTTTAAGCTTTATGAATGACTAGGAAGTTTTTAAATCCAAATTAATATTTGAAAAAGGATAATAACTTTAAAGGATATTTTATTTACTTTTTGTCATGTTTAATGCTGCACTTAAAATATATAATTAGTTACAAAATCATAAATGTCTTTTCATTGGGTTATTAACTTTCCTTATCTTTTTTATATTACCCAGAATATTATCAAAAACATTCATATAGTGTATCGCTAAACAAAGGTCTTATTGATCCCGAAAACATAAAAATTGTTTAAGGCATCAGGAAATAACTAGTTAGTTCTGTAGTAAATCGTGTACCAGTGTAATATATATTCATTGACGACACCATCTACTGTAATATATTGAACCTTTTATATAATGATTATAACTAAATAAAGATGTTTTGATTAGATTATACACTTCTACGAGTTTATTTCAAAAATATATTATAATTGATACAAACTTATGTAGATGTGTTTCTCGTATATTGGTTATAATTTTTGCTGTGTCATCAGCTCTAAATGAGTGGTAAAAACTACATGTGTACCTTATGTGACGGAAGCAAAAACTCATACCTTCTGAATGCATACCAGTTGGTGAAAAGACTTCCTTTATATACATTTCTTACATATATTTATGGAAAAAAAATATCTAAGAACATTTGCTTCTGTTAACAACATTAATGAAGTAGTTTGTTATCATAGAGACATAGAATATTATTTGGCAAATTTGAATAAACTTATTGCCTTGTTATTACGTTATTTATAAATTAAAGTATTCTTTCAAAAAGGAGTATTGGGTGTCTATTTCAATGCCTCACTAAACGAAATAAGAAACGTGTAAGTACCTAAAAAGACATATCCGAGTATATTTTGTCAGCATATTCAGAATAAAAGCGGGTTTCAATACGAAGCTAAAACTGTTTACATGTAATGCAAAGCCATACAAATGTAGTATGACTTGTTTGATTATTTGTGAACAGTTTACCTATTAATGATCTTGAAATAATACATTTGTTTGTTTGTTTGACACTTGCTCACATGAACGCTTACAAAAGCATGGCATTGCCCTATTTAATAGCATGTTGCCTTTAAGCAACACAAAGCTTTCATTGTTTTATTGCATCATTCACACTAGATAAATACTAGAGCTTTCATATAATATTTACACCTGACAAGAGGTATTTTGGCTTTGCGCTTTTGTATCAATAACGTCTGTACTAAATATATCTCCATCATTTTAAAATGGCCGTGGGTTCAAATACATTTTTAGAGTTTGATTGTGTCTTGCGAATAGTCTTGTTTGTTTTGTGTTCTTCAAACTCCATTTTCGAATCTTGACAGTTCAACAGCAGGCTCCTAAAAATGAAAAGGAAAACATTAATTGTTGTCTAGTGGTTATACATGTGTTAGTTTAATTGGCCACTCTATGTCATGTCTTCTTCATGCCATCACATCCTGCTGGATTGCTAGTTTTGTGCCCCTTTAGGTACTCAGTGTTTCGGAATATTGTGGTGGCTGAGTGTCAGCAAACGTACCCTCGTGTGTTGACTTTAGTCTCATATTTTGTATATTTCTATAGATAAGGGGATATTGACATCTAAAACAAATGAAATGTTTTATCATTGCTTTTATTTTATTACGTCAATGTTTTAAATATCTGTAAATTCATCTATCAACGTATGCATTTTATTTAGTCAATTATTAAAATTACATGCGCTTCTGTACAATAATTGTATAAGCTGGTTGTTAATTAAGCATCAAGTCCATATTACGAGCTAAATGATGTGAACTTTAATGAGAAGGAAAGGGAATGTTTGCCTATAAATATATGTTACTTAAGTATATATATCAAGTTCTAGAAACAACTTACGTTTAGTCTCGCAGTGCTGCAGTACGTAGAAGTCACATTCGTAGCAGGGTCGATTGTAGTATAAGTTGTTATATGTGTAGAAGTTGAGCGTAGTAATTTCCCAGAACGCATTAATCTGTGCTGGCTCCACTTCCGTTTTAATAATTGTAATACCTATAAATAGATTATTACTTTAGGAGAATGTTCACATTTCATAAAATGATAAAACATACATCATTTAACCAACATTTGTGAGAAATATAAAAACAAAATATCAAATCATTTATTTGCTTATTTGTGGCCTTTGTATACTCGTAAAAACTGTAGTTATGTTCATACGATGGCTTAATGAAGATTTAAATGACATTTTTATTATCAAAAAATATTAAGTAAACAGTAGCCAGTTAGCCTCCACTTGACACATACATTGCACATGTGAAATGTACGCGCATATTTTTTGAGAATAGGTTCGTTGAATTGGTCCTTAAGACACAAGACGTAATAGAATATAATGTATATTGAGAATCTATATTATATATTATAAACAAACAATAGCAAATATAAATAATTTAAGAAAATCAGGATATCAAGTTATACCAGCTCAAAATGTGACATATGCAATGATAATTACAGGTTATGTGCTTCGTGAGAAGTAGTAAGAAGTGTGTACCACGTTTTAAACAACCAAATTGATACACAGAAAACCATAAAGGATGCAAACGATACACTGTATATTACCTTTTTTAGTTGTAGATAAACAGAATATCTTGCCTTTTCAACAAAAACAAAACATATCGATTTGTCTACATGCTTAATGTTTCTATATTTAATGCAATTGTGATATACATGTATATGTATACAGAAAAAGAAACTAGAAAAATTGTCGAAACATATATTGAATACTTTTTAATTATCTGCTTGATGAAAAGATGGAAAGGCATACATAGTGCAAAGCATACATAGTGTAAAGAAAGAAAATTACTTACCTCACTATTACAAAAACAGTACATCAATGACACAAAAGCACCCTATAAATAAACAAAGACGTGTCACATTCTATAGTCAATATCAGTTTGATATATCTTAAGTTTTAACGAAAGAAACGGTTTCAAAATATTTCATTCAACACATTACCAAGTTTATCAACAATCTCTGATTTGATATAACAAAAGAACATGATTGAAAATTATCACTCTGTAAATCATGTTTTAAATTACTGTTAACATCATTATTTCAACATAAAAAGTAGATTTAGAATACCTGTAAAGAAATCAAAAGTGCTATTGCTATGTGGTAAAAATTTTCTAACGGTGAACCAGTTTCTGGTCTTACAGGGAACAAAAGGTACTGTAAACCTAATAGTGGAATCAATATTAGCGTCGCTCGAGTAGCTTTTCTGAAAACAAGGTAATGGAAATTTGTATCATTTGTAAGATGTGAGCTGTAACATACTGATTATAAGTTCTTAGGATAGAAAATGACAAGAAAAATATATACACTTTCTTACTAATATTGAAAATCATGTAAACGCGATACAAATAAGAAATATCATAATAAATGAAAACCTTTCGAAGTAAAAATTTCATATATGAACTTCCTTATTTCTTTCTTCTTTAGTATAAAATAAATGCGACAATCTGAGACAAAATATGAAAAAAGTAAAATGCCTAATCATATACATGATTTACATAAATTGTCATATGTTTAAACTTATTAATCCAGCTTTTACATTTTGAATAAGATGGACAAATTACAACTTCATGTTACCTCGTTTGATTGGCATCTGGCATTTGACGTAATTTTGTAACAAGAAGTCGAACTATGTTAGCCAGGAAAAGAACATTGATCTGAAATTATTAACATATTGTGAAATTAAAACAGAAACCGATAAGTATCTAATTATTATTTTCTTTAAATTAAAGAATGTATGTAAATTATAATGATAGCTATGTACTTAGATTTTCGAATTCAAAAATTTCAGATTCTTAGAGCTTAGAGTACATAATCAAATTCAGCAAAACTCGGAAATTAACAGAACTGTGAGATGGTCACCTCAATCATTCACTGTCGAATTAAAATAATTGATAATTCAACGTGTGCTGATAAGTTACTTACAGATAAAGATAGAACAATTGGTCCGTACATAATCCACTGTAAATTGCTTTCACTCATCCAGCATCTGTCAAAACATTCATATTAAAATACTTGTGATATAAAATATATTTTTCATAGATATTGACGTACAGAAGAAATAGGAATGTCAAATAATGTATCACTATTGTTAATTTTTCGAATCATCTTGAAAAATTCGTTTTTAGTGGTTTATTGTTTAAATAGAAACATGGAAACCATCTTTCTTGGAACTTCAAAACTAGTTGCGAATAAACAACTTCTTAAATTAATTTGTAATTTAAAAAGTAAACAACAAGAATCTCAGTAAGAAATCAAAGCCAGTCCCAAAATATTTTACTGTCGTAATTTTAAGTAAAAACCACTGAAAAGTACAAACGTTTGGATTTACTTATATTAATTCATCGAAATCTATCTTTTCGAAATGAACAAAAACGTTATGATTATATTAAATTGTTGCTTAAGTGGAATATTATTATGTCTTACGCTGCAGTAGATGTTTTATCGCTTCCTCTTATCATGGCATACAAAGATGCTAATATCAGTGGAAATACTGAAAACGAAAAAATAGAAAAAACAAATTTTAATTCTAACAATTAACATTTACTTATTTAGAAAGATCTTGTGCAGAAAGGAACATCAGTTGTATTTGATATATTTTAAAATAATACACAAAAGTCTTCCTAATCGTTAAACCTACCGTACTAGTATTGTTTGAACTGACATTTAAATAATAATAAAATAACTTACCCCATCCTATACCATAACAAGATATTATTAGCCTTTTGCCTGAATTAAAGGCAAACACCATGATTGTATTAAGGTAAAGTCCCTCGCAGAACATCCACATGAAGTTACTTACAACAAAATACTGACAAATGACATGTAGCACCTGGCACCATATCTTTAAAAAAAGAAGTAATAGACATTATCAGGAATTTAAAACAAAATGTATTAATTGACAATTGAAAAAATATTTTTATTATTCGGAATTATATGCTTACAAACCCTTCTTTAAAACGCGTAAATTGTCTTCACTGCTTTATAATGCGTAAAGTTCAGTTTTGCTATCAAAAGCTCAGCAAGTAACGTCACATCTAGCTATACATGGATCACAAAAACGAACATAAGTATAGTACACAAATTGTTTACATGATACTTCTTTTATTTTTAAATTATCCAAATCATAAACACAATCCCAAAATATAACAGCAACGTATACAGAGAGCATTGCTGAGGTTAACATTACCTTATTTTACTTCAAAACAATGGTAATATATATTTATGGTAAGGACATTTTCAGCTCCATCGTTATTAAAACATGCCTAATAACGGGTCATAAGTTAACAATTGCTAAGATTCTCACAAGAAAACACTTTCCTAGAGATTGATTTCATTACTGAAAATATAGAGGGTTAATGAGGTTTGCTTGCAATGTATTCTCAATAAAGGAGAAGTTTGTGGTTCATAAATTTATCCTGCCGCTGCATTTAACACAATATACATACTTAATATGTGATGAGGTGATGAGGTAAAGAGAAATACCCATTTTACCAATTATGGCCTGACAATATTCTATTTCGATTATAGTGTAAGTTAAGAAATAAAGTTTAAGTAAAAATAGCTTATTGTGGAATGAAATGACATATGAACAGATAATTTACATAATTATGTAATTTCAACAAATAAGGTATTTTATATGACAGTTAGTAAACTTACTGGATTTGATAGCATAACGTTTCCATCGAGTGCAGCAAGAACGTAATAAAAGATCCATGACATCCCCGTGAAGATGTAGGAAAGGAACAAATTTTTATGAATACTTATCCTGTCACAGCGCAACTGTCTGAAAATTGAAAATACAATTGTATATTGAATGGCTTATAACCAAAGTTGATATTAGGCTATAGCTCGAATAAATGGTAGGAAATATGAATTTTACACCCTAGATAATGACTTTTAACATTTTCCTTCAATCGTCCAGATCAATCTTTAATCGTACAGTGTACGTGCATATATTTCGACAACATATTTATTATACCAACATGCGGTAGATGTAAATACAGTTTTCGCAAGCAGGAAAACTCATTCAATTGAATTTAATAAAGTTTGTAAACTTTGTCTTTTTAAAACAAAAAAAAACACTAGAATTTCATTGTTAATAGCACAAAATTAATTAGCATATAATTTACACACAAAATTGACACATCTTAATTAATTGGCTTCGATATGTAACCTCTTTTAGCAGGTTAAACCAACTATACTCGGGAAAACTTCTGCGTCACAATTGTATATAATTCTCAATACTTTATATAGTACAGTACATAAATAAATTGTATAATGCATAAATGTCACTTAATCATTTCTTATCAAATTGCATAATCTAAATTTTAAAGACACTTAATAAATCACAAAGAGTAGTCGCTTAAACTCATTTGAAATTATGAAAGTCGCATTCTTTGCAACGTCTTCCCTTGAATCAGATACAAATGATGCGTTTGATGGAACAAATATTCCATTCCTGCTGTATATAAATAGTGAGATCTTCCTAGATTAACATTTTAATATTTTTTAAAAGAAAACTTTTATTTTGTTAATAAGAACATCTTTTCTGCAATTACACCATTTGTTGTTGTTGTTTTTTAATAATTATTTAAACATTTTAAATTTATAATTTATTTGATACATGTAGAAAGTTAATTGGGTTGATATATATTTAAATAACTACACGCTGCCATTTTTACAGTAGATGCGTCACAGTGAAGAGCTCGATCTACTGAAATTCAAGATCGGATCAATTAGATTGCACGTTTTTACATAAGATGGTATTATTTTTTCGCCAGAAACATTTGTTATGTAATTCCTTTCATACATAAATCATTACATTGTTTTCAACGACAAAGAGAGAAAGAAATACGACTTAATTTGGAAAAACGTCTCTGAGGATGACGAAGTATACATCTAATTATTTTTTTTTTCATAGATGAAGGAAGATGTGATAGATATACTTGAAGCGTATAAATATACCAAGAGAAATAATCAGCATCAATAATGACAAGACAAATCCTCCGATGAATATGTAGATGTAATTGATGTCGTCAGTGACCTGAAAAATAAGACATTAAAGGCCCATTATGACTCAGATATGTAATCTTTTTCTTCAGTTTTCTTTATTTTTGGTATGCTGTTACATATTCCGACAAAAATGCTAACTTGCCATATAGATGAACTTTCTTTTGCTTCTGTTGCTTCATTAGCATTTTTTGTAATTATAGTGAAAACATTTCAAAAACATGTTTGGAATTTGAAAGGAATTGAAAAACAATTGATTATTGAGGCAAAGTGTGCCTTTAAACGAGACGATGTAATGTTGTTATTTGTATATGTAATAAATAACCTGCTTGTAGGTCTTTGAGTGTAATAATTCTTGCTGCACAATTAATTTTCATAGGCTTCAAGTATCAGGGCTAAAAATATTTTAGAATGGTTCATCGTTACCATTTATCTTTTAAGTTAAATACATATTGTGTATTGTTTTCCAATGATCATTATTGGAAATGTATATCAATCACTCTGCATCTAAAGTAATGGTAATTTTACAAAACTGATAATTTAGAAAAAAATAAATGATCTTTAAAGTTAGCATATTTAAAATATTATTTGGACATGTGCTATATAACTTACTACATTGTATAACATAAAATAACTTTCGGGATTAATTTCGTCGGATTGATTCATCTTAAATGTCTGACATACAAATGAGCGTAATTCAAGGTAATTATATAATGATGTAATTTCATCTGAAATGTAATTAAGTGTAAAGCAAATTAATAATACAGCACTTTTATATCCAGACATGCATTATAGTGCTTCCCATTGCTTATTTTAATGTGCATTGTATTACATTTACGTCAGACATATGCTAAATAGCAAGATGTGTTTTGGTGCCTCTAAAAGTTACTTGTAATTTGTTAAGCAATCGTCCTTTGGACGCAAATATATAAAATATATGGTACTTAACATGTTGTTGATTTTTTTCTGCAACATTGAAGTAAACGTTTAAATTAAAATTGAAATTACTAAGTAAATACATATTTCAAATTTTGGGATAGTCACATTTTGTAAAGGTTATAATGTTTGACTCTTTGCAACAGTCACTAAACACCAGGCGTCTAATGTAATGTTTAAATATATTAATGTGTATTGTACCAATAAAAATAAGATTACAATTATGTATTAGATTAAAATGTTACGTTAGTAAATGTTATTTTAGTGGTCGTTTTTTAAAGAGTTTAGCTGAGTTAAAGGTGTCAAATAATTTATTTTTGTCACACGGAGATTATGCATATGATTTTGAACTGTCGCACATATTTAAAATAAACGTCCATCTTATTATATTATTATTGACACTATCATAGTCAGAAAATACTTTACATTCTATTTGTTATAAATTATAATACAAAAGACTTACTTGAACCTTTCGTAAACACATTGAATAGTTTGCCCAAGTCTTTCCTGTTTTAGGGTTCACGTACCATGTTCCATTCGCAGTACATTCTCTATATGCAACGGCTGAAACAAAATGATCATATTCCTAAGTATTCTCAATACTTACATCTAAAGTAATGGACATGAATACCTTAATGGAATGAAAAACAACACCTTAATCAGACAAATATCTGATGATCAAAATAAAATACAAAGATTTTGCATCTCATATTTATATCCTGTCTAGACATATAAAAGCGGCATGTGTTTACCAGTATTTTACAAGTACAGTTTTTTCACGGTTATTATTGGTATACAACATTTAATACATCCAGTTGATTACCTGAAACAGATATACATAAATAGGTATGATACTTTTCTTGACTCATTGATACATGTTAAAGTTGTGTTGTTTTCTGTAATTTTGTGGACAGACTTACAGTTTGTGTCAAAGGTAATTATATCTGGACACTGAATTTGTGCAAATTGTCCTGGATACGTGTCTGGCCAACAACCTCCCCAATGATCCATTGTTCTGTTACAGTAAATACCATCTGAAATGAAATAATTCATTTTTAATATTTTGCTTAAAGTCATTTTAAAGATTAAACTCAGACATCAATTGCAATACTTTACGCATTACCAAAAATTACAATCAGTGCGAACAGGTGCATAAACAAAAGTATTTACACATTGGCATTATCAATGCATTAAAACCCTTACTCCACGCTAAAACACGCTAAAACACATTAAAATTTTGACTTTGAAAATATATTCATGTGCGCTTTAAAGTATTTTGTAATCACATAGATATTACATGTACTGTTGTTGAAGTGTAATAATGTTTGACTTAACAACAAAGACTTTTGCGAGTACGATTTTTTTCATTTATCAATTTTACATATGTCCTTAAGATTTTGCAATTAATTTGAATTCATCTTTGTATATCTCGGTTTCCATACGTAACTATAATTTATACTACTTTTGCACAGTTCAGTGTATTAATGTTTATTATGTCGAAACTTTTAAGACCCATAAATCCTAAAACATGTAATGTTTTTTGTGTGTGAAAAACATTGATTTATGGTGTCTTGTTACAGCTGTCAACTAAATACACAATGGCCACTTTTGCTTCTTTAGCATTTCTTCAATTAGTATAGTAACTGTAATAGTCATTTAATATTTTGTCACGTTTAAATATTTGTTTGTGTATCTGTTTATTTGTTTGTTTCTGAATCGAGACATTCGAATCGGTTTTCGACCATTTTGAGCACAAATATAACATACATGTGTATTTGTTTTACTTCGGTATACAATATCTATATTATATCTAAAAAACATCGTATTTCAAGATAAACTTGATGTTAAAAATCTTAAAATGTCGTAAAAGAAATGTTATATTTCTTAGTTTTGTTGTTATTGAATTATTGCGTTACTGTAGTTACTTGTAACTTATACATGCATTTAGAAAAGAATGGTTCGTCACATCAGTTTTATTTATTGATTTATCAAAATAGTCATATTTTATTTATTGATTTATCTTATTCGACGTAAAATCTGTAACGTCCGAATCATCAGCAACATTACCATCAGCAATATAATACATAAACAATGGGACTAATCGTTGTTGGCTTCATCTCTGAAACTTCTCACATACGAAATATCACGAGTTATTTGGACTTTTTCAATAGATAAACACAAGACGTACATGTTTGTATTATTCCAAAAGTCCCTACATTCACTTGGGACTAACATTTTATCATTTGTTCTGCTGTTTTTAACATTTTTCCTAACAATATAACAACTTAAACAGCTTAGCTGGGTTATTTAATTGTCTTTTTACTGCAGATGATTGTCTTTCATCACTAAAGGGAATTGTGTTTCCAACACTTTGTTGTAAAGAATCATCTAAAAATGTTGTTTGTTCTAGCTGGTCTCTGTCAGTCGTTTCTAAAGGGAACATTGTTTACTGTATTGTGATTATTGGGTAATGAAACGTTCAGATAATAAAGTTAATAATCTTAATAAAGTTTTAAAAGTGTTGCACAGTAACAATATACTTTACAAATTCAGTCTATATAGTTTATAATGTACATTTCTTCGCTTTCTAAGTGTATGAAACTTTTAGTTAACACTTACTCATTTGAATATTTTTCGTTATGAAAAGATTATGTGAACAACAGCTTTCCATTTTAAATAACGAATTACATGTCCTCGCAATTCACTAACCATTCACCGCATCACATTAAGATATTTTATATTCGTATAAAATCTACTGTAATAAATATATAATTAATCATGCAAATTATATCATTTCTAGCTACTTTAGACAAGGGCAGGAAATGAGAAAATTGAAGTTTTATGTTGTAAATCACAAGTATAAGTGTGTTTTGTTTGACATACGTCAACTAAGAATTAGGACAACACTTTCATTTAAGTGACCTTTCATTATAGTGTTATTAACTGGAGACACAATAATAGCAAGCATTATATGTTATTGTATCATAGTTTGGGGACCTTTCTTGAAAATGTGACAGAGTTAAATTGTACATGCACAGTGCGTTAACTGGAGTGCAGGTATTAGTTACCCGCACTCCAGAGCATGCCCATTGATTGGTTCATTTTGTTTGGGATTTACATATTGTGACGACAGAGAAAGGGATAGCGATAGAAATATCATATTAAGATGCTCGTTCATTGTTCAGATGCTCGTTCATTGGTTTCTTTTTCTAGGGTTTCACATTGTGACAACAGGGAACGTTTTTTGATGTTGACTATGATAAAAAAGAGAAAGAACATCAAAACACTCGGCAATCTGATTAATACTCGGGGGCTACTCTCCCACCTCTCGTACAAATCAGCCTCGTGTTTCGATGCTTTTCTATTACTTATCTCTATATACCAAATTTTAGTCAGATTACATTGATAAAATTGGCACCTTGCTGGGTACAAATATTTCCTTTTCGGTTTGCAATTATATAAAGCTATCCGAATGTTCTATACAACAACATTGAATGAAGGTCAAGATAAGACAGTATAATTACCAAACGCGTTAAACGGGAAGGATATATCGCGATGTATTTCCTCTTCTTATATGTCTGGATAGAGTAATTTTGTCTGCTTTGGAAAATAACCTGTCTTGTAATAAGCCTTTTTTATGTTCGTTTCTTATGACTAACGAAGACTTCTAAAGACAGCTATTATTTTTGTCTTCTTATGTAAAACAAACAAGGTCAAAAGGCACTCTAGTGCATTAAGATATTATTAAAACTACCAGACATAAAAGTGAATATTCCTTACTCTACCGAACGAAATATATGTTCAGTGAATTAATCAGTAACAAGTAAAGATATCAGTTCACGTTAAAACGTTTGAAATGAATATACGGCCATCATAGGTGATTGAGAATCATCGCAAAGGTTATCTACACGAATTTATTTTACATAATATCAAAGTCATTATAACACTTATTTAACAAACATGTTTTAAATTCTGTCAAAGGCCCATTACGCCTATCATTTTTTTATTTCTGAAAAACTGTTTGTTCTTGGAATCTTGTTATGCTTCCCAAAAATTCATTTCTTATATAAATTAACTCTTATCTTTTGCATCTTTAGCTCTTTTGACATTTTGTATTTATCATATAGCGAATAATTATTTTGAATGGATGTCAAAATACTACTTCGTTTACATTTTGGAACCTTTACTACACATAACCGCATGTTCCGTGCTTTTTTCTTCGGTTATAAAATATCTAACATGCACTTAATCCACTATTTAATGATTTAATGATTTCTAGAGAAATAAAACTGTATGGTTTGCTGAGGCATAGTATGCCTTCAAACGAATTAACCATATGAAAGTAATTACATTTTTTTTTCTTTTTTTAAATATCTGCATAAATGTAACACAATCCAGACATTTGAACGCACGTTTTGACAGTCAAACATATACGCTTGCATATTGTAATGTAAATGGGAAAGGAAACGTTTTTGACATTATCCATTGCAAGTATAATAATTAATTATGCAAACTTGCATGCGTCTTATATAATGTAATATGTATCAAGATAGTACATGTATGTAAATAGATCGACGTATCATTCTTTATTATTTCCTAAGTATGCCAAAAGTTGTAAAATGTAAAAATCAACTTGTTCTCTGTTTTTCCATTGTTCATAAGTATTCCCTTTTGCTATAAAAGAGTTCTTACAAATAATAAAAAAACCTTACAATACAAGGGCTGAAACATTAAAGATCCTGTAACACAATTTTTTATGTTTTTATACCATAAATGTGATGCTCAAATTAAGATATATCAATTTTAAAGTTCCAAAAAGCATTATTTATAAAGATATATCCGAATTTTACATTTTATCTAAATAAAGGGAGGTAATAAAAATTAATTTTCTATAACTTTTGAGTCAAATTTTTCAATAAGAAATAGATGTATGTATTTTAATTATTACATATAATATGTACACATATTTGCAGTACATATTTCACATATTCCTTGATGTTTAAAAAAATTGTTTTATAAGCATAATTATATACATATATGTAATTTCACTTGAGTGTGGTATGCAACCTCAATTACAACATACAGGATCTTTTACCGAAATAACAACGTAGGTTTAAAATAATTTGTTAAAATTGTGTCTGTTTAGTGTTCAATGCAATAGACCATAATAACCATGAATTGAAAATACCAAAGTTTGACGATTGACAATTTACAATTGACGTTTCTGCTAAGCAATGCAGAATATATTAAATGGAAATAAGGAAACACTGTATCCACAGTATCCACCGTATTTCATCTAATTTTGTAATTGCTGCTGAAAAGATATTTTCCTTAAATATTTAAGGTGTGCAAGTCAAGAACGTATCATTTCGTCTGATTTATGCAAGTATGGAACTTAAGTGACTGTTTTGACAGAATTGATGAATTTCATATTAAATCTATATTTTTTTTTAAATATAATGAACCTTTAAATAAGAAACATACATTTGAATTAGTTTTCTACATAAATGCGTCTGAAGTGTTAATAACTAAACAAACAATATTAATCTAATAAGTACGTTTCAGAAATTACAAGACCTACCATAAGGGAACGTTTTTATTCATTATTGTATATAATTTGTTTTGAAATAAACCAAGGTTTGGTGACAACAGAATTTTTAAATGTTGAAACTCCCACATATGTGGTTATGCAGCGGTAAACTTTTGAACGTTTAGATTGCATTCAAACTATTACAATATAATAAACTTTAAACCTAACACATACAAGATTCTACGAGATCAAAATAACGGAATGTATAATTGATGTTCCTTGGTATTCCTAGAAGTCCTCTGTTATCAAATATGATCCAATATATAACTTCCTTAGAGAAGACATACGTACTATTTGCACTATCTGTAATATTCCCAAATTTTGAGGCCATATGTTTAGACTTGTTATTATGTGACAAAAGCTTTTTTTTGTTTTTTTTTCTTTCCTTTATAAGAAGGAAGATTCCAAGAAGAATATCATTTGAAACCAGCAAAGAACTTCAAG